CAGTGTTGGGGGGAATGGGGAGAGGCCAGCATTTGCTGTTCTTGACCTTTTGCTCTCAAAATGAGTGGCTTGCTCGGCCATTTCACAAGGCTGGCAGCACATTTCCTTCCCTGGGTGGTATTCGTGAAGCATATGGGTCTTTTTGACAATCAATGATCATTTACTGAGTCTAGCTTTCAATTCCAGATTTTTCGAATTGAATCTGAAAGTCTACCAGCCACCAACATTGTTTTGTCTGTGCCATTCTTCTGTGCGACTTTGTCAAAAGCCTTCTGAAAATCCAAATAAAGCACATCCACCGGCTCTCCTTAATTATCTCTAATAGTTGTATCCTAGAAGAATTCCAGTAGATTTGTCAGGCATAATTTCCTTTTTGTAAATCCATGCTGTGTGTGTCTGATTTACCACTGTTTACAAAGTGCTCTGCGATAAAGTCCTTGACAGTGGGCTCTAGTATCTTGCCCACTATTGCCATCAGACTTGCTGGTCTGTAATTCCCTGTTTTCTGTCAACCTCCCTTTTTAAATAGTGGGGTTACATTAGCTACCCCCCAATCTGCAGGAATTGTTCCAGATCTAAATAATCTTGGAAGATGACCAGTAATGCATCAACTTTTCAAGGGCCACTTCCTGAAGCACAGTGGGATGTAGATTATCAGACCCTAGGAATTTATCAGCCTTCCATTCCATCCATTTCTCAAATACCATTTCTCCACTAATACAGATTTTCTTCAATTCCTCCCTCTCACTGTGCTCCCCATCATTTCTGGGACGTTATTCATGTCTTCCTTTGTGAAGACAGAAGTGCAGAAGTGTAAATTTAGTTTGTCAGTCATTTTTTTGTTCCCCATGAGAAATTCCCCTGTTTCAGAGTGTGAGGGACCTATATTGGTTTTCTCCAATCTTTTTCTCTTTACATACCAATAGAAACTTTTAGGAAGTTCCTACGTTCCCTACAAGTTTACACTCATGCTCTATTTCTCCCTTCTCTTGGTTCTTCTTGCTAACTTCTAAACTGTTCCCAATCCTCAGTTCTATTGTCTCTTCTTGCCAATTTGTATGCCTCTTTTTTGCATTTAATTTCCCTCATAAGCCATGGCTTAGCCACTGTTCTCTTCACACTCTTGCAACAAACAGGAATCGACAATTTTTATGGCTCACCCATTCGCTCTTTGAATGTTTGCCATTACCTCTCCACCGTCATTCCTTTCAGTAACATTTCCCAATCCATCGTAGCAACTCCAACCTCAAACCATCATAGTTTCTTTGATTAAGATTCAGGGGCCTAGTCTCGGAATCAATTACCTCACTCTCTACCTTGATGGAGAATTCTATCATATTTATTCTTTTTTTTTCTTTATTCATTCATGGGATGAGGGCATCGCTGACCAGGCAGCATTTATTGCCCATCCCTAATTGCCCAGAGGGCAGTTCAGAGTCAACCACATTGCTGTGGGTCTGATGTGGGCCAGACCAGGTAAGGATGGCAGTTTCCTTCCCTAAAGGACATTATTGAACCAGATGGGTTTTTCCAACAATCGGCAATGGGCTCGTGGTCAACATTCAATGAAAAAGGAATAATGGTTAATGTAGTTGTGCAAAACCCCTTGGTTTTGATGAGTAACCAAAATATGATAAGAGGGAGGCAATCACTGGACTGTTAAGCCAGAAACCCAGATAATGTTCTGGGGACTCAGGTTCAAATCCCACCATGGCAGATGGTGGAATTTGAATTCAATAAATATCTGGAATTAAGAGTATAACGATGACCACGAATCCATTGTCAATTGTCGGAAAAACTCATCTGGTTCATTAATGTCCTTTAGGGAAGGAAACTGCCATCCTTACCTGGTCTGGCCTACATGTGACTCCAGACCCACAGCAATGTGGTTGTCTCTTAACTGCCCTCTGGGCAATTAGGGATGGATAATAAATGCCACCCTCATCCCGTGAATGAATAAAGGAAAAATAATATTCTGCTTTTAGGACTTTGTCCTTGTTTTTAATCTCTGTCATTGGTACCAAAGTCACTGTTCAACCAGCATCTTTAGTGGTCGTCATACAAATTGCCCTAGGGTCTTGGCAAACACAGGTTTAGCAGAATTTGAAAACATCTGTGCAATGAAATTACCCGCCTTCCGAACAAAATGATTTCTAGCTGCATCTTTCTTCAGGGCAGTGACCCAAGGTAAAATTCCAGGTTTCAGTGAGAGAATCGAAGATGATATGGAGATAAATGACTCTCACTTCTGTTTTGTCTGCATAGCTCAGCACATGTGTGACAGGCAACTTCCATTAGAGGATTTCAATTCTGACGAAGGGTCACTGGACTCGAAGCGTTACCTCTGCCAGACCTGCTGAGTTTCTCCAGCAGTTTTTCCGTCATTCTCATTTAAACACAGCCACTCTCACCCTAACGGGGCACATCCTTACCTTGCAAAGAACGATGCTGCAGCTGAGGTCCCACTCGAGGCCACACTTGATACGTAGGTACCCTGGGAGCTCGGGAAGCTGCTGCACACCGATGGCTTGTCAGAGTTGTAGCGGTTCAGAACCGCCTCGGTCAAACCTTCCCGGCAATTCTCGGACATCAGCTGTGATATCTGCAATGAGAGTGCAGCACGGCTTTATGCAAACCTTCCTGGGAAAAATGCGAATCCTCATTAAAATCCCTTAGCCCAATACTCCACAAGTAAAACTAAAACACATTTGAATTTTTTATTTAATTCACTCATTGGGCTTCACTGGCTGGGTTCGCTTCATTTACTGCCCATCCCTAATAAACACCGAAAGAACTGCAGATGCTGTGAATCAAGAACAAAAACAGAAAGTTGCTGGAAAAGCTCAGCAGATCTGGCAGCATCTGTGAAGAAAAATAAAACAGAGTTAACGTTTCGGCTCCAGAGTCAGTTCTGAGGAAGGGTCACTGGACCTGAAACGTTAACTCTGTTTTTATTTCCTTCAAAGATGCTGCCAGACCTGCTGAGCTTTTCCAGGAACTCTCTGTTTTTGTCCCTGCCCATCCCTGGTTGCCCTTGAGAAGTTGGTACAACAGAATAGGTACAAGATCGCAAGTATCATTCACCAGGAGGCAGAGCACTCCACTGAAATAAAAGCAAAGACCAAGTAGAGACTGTGACATCGTTTCAAGGAATAGGAGGTTCCAATTTTTTTCATCTCAATCCAGTCTGTCTTTCGACCGGTCCTTTCATTAGAAGATGACACTCTTTATGATCCATAGTTTTTGAGACACGTTCACCTGCTGACAATTGAAGGTGCAAAGACGATGATAATCAGAAGTACTCCCACACTTGGATAATCTCACAATGTAATTTGTACAGTCATTTAAAGCCATGATGAGATGTTACTCCAGTGTCATTTTCTGCAGCTTTCCGAGCCAGAAGGAAAAAAGACTAAACAAGCCCTTGCAATAAGAGTAATCAGAGGAGACTGGATGGACATAATCAGAATCAAGAACGGTCCAGACAGAATAGAGAGGGAGAATCTGCTCCTACACACAGAGGCACAAGAACCAGAGCATCATTAAAATGTTTAACAAAGAAGCATTTGTGAAGCGAGGAGAAACAATTTACACAGAGAACGATGAACACATTCAATTGCGGATGTCAAAAGAGAACTGGGTAGTAAGAAACAAAACAAAAACGTTCAGGGTTATATGAAAAAGGCAGGGCAGAGGAGTAGGGTGTTTGCTCTTGCAGGCCACAACCACACAATGGTCTGTCTCCATAGAGATAACAAGGTGTAGAGCTGGAGGAACACAGCAAGCCAGGCAGCATCAGAGGAGCAGGAAAGCTGACATTTCAGTTCTGGACCCTTCTTCAGAAAATGCTTCCTGCTCCTCTGATGCTGCTTGGCCTGCTGTGTTCCTCCAGCTCTACACCTTGTTATCTCAGATTCTCCAGCATCGGCAGCTCCTATTATCCCCTCATGGTCTGTCTCCATTCTCTGATTCTGTGAGGGCTTGAAAGGTGAATGATCTGTGGGCAAAGCAGGCAGGAGACAGACACTCAGAATAGATGTGACAGTAATGGGAAACGTTTCAGGAAACCAGCCACAATTTAATCCAGTGATGGAACACGTTTCAGGGGATGATTCGCCAACAGAAATGTTCAACTGGCTTATGGGGCCAACAGATTTTTGCTTTTGCTAACAAAAATGGCTTTCACTCCGTTGCTTTAATGCAACCTTATTTAATTTTTTTTTCATCGTTTGTGTATTTCACTGGTTCTTTTCTTTTTTCTGCTGAGTAAATACAAAGGGAAAGTGGTCTCTAACTGAGGAAGCCTCTTTCTTTCAGGAGCTATGCAAAGGCTGGCCCATCTCTCAAAGGAGGTGAGAGGCAGGGAGGCATACAGGCGTCTGCTTTTTGGCATCTGAGCATCTGAAGGCACGAGCATTCGAAGGAAATTGTAGATGTACAAGGGGCCGGAGTTAGGAAGAGCTGCACCAGGATCTTGGGAGGATAATGCCGCAGGAGGAGGTAACAGAGATAGTGGGAGGGGATGTCAAACATGATCCACAAGTTTAATTCAAGCAGCTTCAGGCCACTAATGTCCTGGGAGGGTTCAGCACTCAACCCTCAGCCCCTGACTGCCCAACTCCTATTCTGGATTAAAAATAATGCCCTGTTTCTTTCAGACCGATCAGAAGAGATTTTCCAACAGGTCCAATTTATTACAATTCCTCAGTGGTTGAGATTTCCTTTCAAACATTCCTGAGGTTTCCAAGAACGTTCATTACTGTCAACACTGAGCGTTAATTCTAAACACTAATTATACAGGTCAGTAAATGAACAGGCCATAGGGGCTAGCCTTGAAGGCATGGCTGTGCTTACACAGCAGTGAATTTGTTTAAAATACCTTCAGCTTGGTGTGAAGCCGAGTAAATAGAGATCATTGTGTGGAGTTGATTATGATTTCTGACAGTTATTGAGTTGGGCAGTTCATGCAACAAAATGAACCCTCTCTCTCTCCAACGTTCAGTCCCATAGAGGCCTATTTGTTGTTTCCAGTCTGAAGGATCTCTCGAAGGGGAAACTAAAACATAACCAAGGCAGGTTTGTCCTCGCCCCCTTCTCTACCCCCTCCTCAGGCTACAGTGGAGGTTTCTATTTCCATACTCGTTCTGACCAAAGAGTAGTAAGGATCGATGAAACGACCCTGTAAATTGATCCCGGCTGGGCGGTCATTAAATCTATGGCTGAGAAAGAAGCACTGTATTCATGGTCATATACTTGGCCAAACTCCTGGGCCTTCAAAGGCTGGTGTTCAAATGCTTAACCTATTAAGCTTCCAGTGTTGCTAATTTAATGCCTGTTTTACTAGACAGAGCCTTAGGGAACTTGGAAACACCATTTCTTTAAAACGGCAAATTTCACAAGGCCTGAGCTCATAATCCCGTTTAATGTTCCAGTGCAGTGCTGAGGGAGTGCCATATTACTGGGGGTACTGTGTTTTAGATGAATATTAAATCTGTGTGCTCCCACAGCTAGACATGGAAGATCCCATGGCTGTATTCTGAAACTGAACAGAGGAGCACATTCCAATGTCTAGCCAATATTTAACTATCCATCAGCAACACTAAAGCACATCATCTGGTTAATTCTTCATCATAGAGGGTTGACGAGGCTGGGTCATTGAGTATATAACGGGGTGGCATGCTGTCACAGTGTTTACCTTATAGCACCAGGGACCCAGGTTCAGTTCCAGTCTTGGTAACTCTCCGTGTCTGCCTGGGTTTCCTCTGGGTGCTCCGGTTTCCTCCCACAGTCCAAAGGCGTGCAGGTTAGATGGGTTGGCCATGCTAAATTGACTCCTAGTTTCCAAGGATGTGCAGGCTAGGTGTATTAGCCATGGGAAATGCAGTGTTATAGGGATAGGTGGGAGGTGGGCCTGGGTGTGATGCTCTTCAGAGGATCAGTGTGGACTCGAAGGGCTGAATGGCCTGCTTCCACCCTGTGACATTTTACGACATTCAAGGCTGAGGTAAACACATTTATCATTAGTAAGAGAATGAGGGTTATGGGAAAAAGGCAGGAAAAAATTGAGGATGATTAGGTCAACAATGATCTCATTGAATATCAGTGCAGTCTCAATGGGCTGAATGTCCTACTTCTGTTCCTATGACCTACATCATGTTGCTGTTTATAAGAACATACTGTGCACAATTTGGCTCCCAAATTCCCTCACATGACAACACTTCAGAAGTATTTCATTGTATTCCACTGCTAATGGTTATGAAAAGTGCTAGATAAGTGTAAATCCTTCTTTCTTTCTGCTTTCCTCATGTTTCATCTGATGTCAGCCATCTCCCTCCCTCCAATCCCAATACAAGGGAGACAAGTCAGTGATCAAATTGGTGTCAATGCAAAGCCTCTTGTTGATTTGTGAAGGGAATGACGTTGGGGAGGACTCCCCACAGTTCTTCAAAGTAGTGCCATGAGATCTTCTCTACCTTTTCTACCTCATTTTTAATGTCTCATCCAAAAGACAGCTCCTCTGACAGTGCAGCACTCCCTCAGTACCGTGCTAAAGTATCAGCCTTGGCCTTTGTGTTCAAACCCTGCAGTGGGATTCCCGAAAAGCCTGCAAAGGGTGTGTCCAACACTGATTTAATCTGCCCACTTACTCCTTGAATTCGAACACAGCCATAGCCCTTCCTTCAGTTCATTCACCGTCTCCATCCCCTGACATGTTGACCCTCCTCCTGGACCCCTAAACAGTGTTCAAGCCCCTCACCACCTAACATTTCATATCCCCTCACCATCCATGTTCACTGCCCGCTCCCTCCCCAGGAAATGTACACCAGCACCCCCTCATCTCCTGGCATCTCACACCCCGTCACCCAACAGTCTTCACCCTCTCATCCACGCTCCCAGAAATGTTCAACACCCTCAAAGCCAACAGTGTTTCTCCCACCTCCCAAAAGTGTTGATTTGTGAAGGGAATGACGTTGGGGAGGACTCCCCACAGTTC